TTTTACCTTTCACGTGAGATCACTGCAACACTTCACGAACTGTTATTAAACTCAAAAGCCACAAAATAATTCTTGGATGTTTCGTTAATAACGAGAAGGTAAAGCCGAATTTTATCACATTTACAGTTAGAAAATTAAATGAAACTATTGTAGTAACAAATAAACTGTTTTTATTACGACATCTAGGGCTACCGATTTTGTTTAGGCCTAACAGCACGCTGTTGAAAGTTTGTAAATAAGGCAAGAAATTATAACTTGTAAATTACGTAATCATTAAAATTATTGGTGTTTTAAACAATGATATATACAAGTCGATTAATTTAGTACAATAATAGAAAACATAAAAAATATAACCAGTCTATTTACACGAGTAAACTTTTGATAAAGTTTCGTGGCAGGAATTATTATAGTATAAATTTTATAAACTTAACGTAGAAATGTGAGAAATATATATATATATATACATATTTATTTGATTTGGTTTGTTTTGAATTTCGCGCAAAGCTACTCGAGGACTATCTGTGCTAGTCATCCCTGATTTAGCAGTGATAGACTAGAGCCTCATTAGAGGGAAAGCAACTAGTCAATACCACCTACCGCCAACTCTTGGGCTACTCTTTTACCAACGAATAGTGAGATTGACCGTAACATTATAACACTCCCACGGCTAAAAGGCCGAACTTGTTCGGTGAGAGAAATATACTCTTTAATGTGTTATATCTATTAGTGTTATATGTGTTATATCTATTAGAACAAGTACTTATGCAGTCCTTTCAGGTATGTCTTCGGACATACAACGCTAGAAACCGGGTTTCAATACCCGTGCTGCGCAGAGCACAGATAGCCCATTGTTTAGCTTTGTGCTTAACTTCAAACAAACAAACCTTTGAAGTAATAAAAGTTTGGAGACGGCTTGACTGGGTAATGAAAACTTTATTATAAATATATCACGTTTCGACAAAATCTCAAAACTTTTATTTTAAAAAAATTGGGTTACTAGTTATCAAGTTTTAAACCTTTCAGGTGGAGAGTCACTAGAGGCCTACCTTTAGCGACATCTGACGGTACACTTAGGTATCACGAATGCCACTTTTGCGACTACTAAAGTGACATCCAGTCGTTGTTTTTGTTTTCTTGAGTGACTTAGATACTCGCATTTTAAAAATAGACTAATTCCAAAACTAGAATGCCACCACCAGGGTTGGATTAAGATCACAGTGTTTCTTCCTTTTTTTTGTTGTCTTTTTTTTTTTCATTGACATTTTGGCTTTCAATACAACCTTTTATTATATATATAATACTTTCAAAAATTACGGTTTCTAACTAAAAAATTATATAAGAAGACTATTTAAAGAAAACAAAACTTAATCACTGTTTAGCCTCTTAACAACTAACTACCTTGTCTGTCTTTTGGTTAATTTGGCCATGACCCTAAATGAATATTTCTTGTCCAGTAGTTTTAATAAAGGTCATGTTACTGCTGTATATATTTGTGTTCGTTGTGCAAATTTCATGGAAAATTACTGATAGTAAACACCACCTAGGAAAACAAATTCTAAAATATGAATTTAAAATTTAGGCGAGGATAGTTGGGGCAAGGCATGTATTTTACAAAGGTCCAGCTTTAGCAGGTAAGCAAATTCTTCGGGTGGAAAAATCAATACAAGTTTTAATATTAAATTTACGTTCGCTTTACACTCTTTGCTTTGTCGTACAGAACCAGCAGCTGTGTTCATACACACAAACTCTGCAACATAAACTAAAATATGCTTCTGGAAAATTTACGAAGGTCTTCACACCATTGCAGCTAGAAAATGAAATAAAAAAAAAAAAAAAAAAAACAACAACAAAAACAAACGAGTTATTCTCAAGCTAAACATTAGGAAATAAAACAAGGGAGGCCTACTAAAGTAAAAAGTGTTGTAGAAACTGTTTGTTTGTTTTCAATTTTCGCGCAAAGCTATACGAGGGCTATCTGCGCTATCCGTACCTAATTTAGTAGTGTAAGACTAGAGAGAAGGCAGCTAATCATCACCACCCACCGCCAACTCTTGGGATACTCTTTTACAAACGAATAGTGGGATTGACCGTCACATTATAATGCCCTCAGGGCTGAAAGGGCGAGCATCTTTAGTGGGACGGGGATTCGAACCACCCTAACCCTAACCACCTGGCCTTGACGGGTCTAGAAAGTGTGGTATTGTTTTATATAATATTATATTTATAGATGTTCTTCGATGGTAACTGGGCAGAACAACCTTACGGCACAATTCCTAAACCTGGTCCTGGGTTAACCGTCCATTATATTTGTAACTAAGTTGAATCTGCTAAATCTACAGGAGTTAATAATGATTAACGGTTGGAATGTCTTGATTAATAATCCGATAGCCAGGTTTCAGTACTCTTCAAAATTCAGATGTATTTCCCCTAGTGACCGGTCCGGTATGACCAGGTGGTTAGGGTGCTCGACTCGCTATCCCCATCCTACCAAACATGCTCGCCCTTTCAGCTGTGGGGGCGTTATAATGAGACGGTCAATCCCACTATTAGTTGGTAAAAAGAGTAGCCCAAGAGTTGGCGGTGGGTGGTGATGATTAGCTGCCTTTCCTCTAGTCTTACACTGCTAAATTAGGGACGGCTAGCGCAGATAGCCCTCGTGTAGCTTTACACGAAATTAAAAACAAACCAAACCCCTAGTGACCAACTAACAGAAGATCGAGTTCAACCAAGGTTAAAATACAACCCTGTTTTGTACAATCTATATAGCTTTAATGGCAAGTCACGTGGTGTAGCTTTGAAACCGTCCAATCAAGCAGTTACACGTATTAAAAATAAGTAATTTCAAAGTAAAAGAAAAAAAAACAATTTTTTTTTTAGTAAAAATGTCTTTCTCAAATCGAATGTACAAAACCTGCTGTATGGCTGAGAATTGTGTTATTCCTGTTCATGTACGAAAAATTCTGAAGTGAAACTTAAGTTATATCACACATCCTTCCTTAAAATATCGCGAATATTTTACTAATTTGATTCGAGTCAAATTTTCACGTGAATCGCGCTGACCATATATATATACATAGTCGTTAACATACAATAGCTTGACGTAACTAGATTTTATACCAAAGGGGACAATCTAGGGTTCCCCCCCCCCGTAACTCTATACAGATGGCCTAAGTCATTCTGGTGAGTGCAATACGTTTTCTTGTGTATACTTGTGTTGATTTATCAAAACACACGGTAGCGTGTCGTGCAATCAAAACAACCTGCAGGGTGTGTTATTAATAGGAGTAATAGTTTAGCGATTTTCCACTTTCTGTAGCTTGGGCTGTGATAATCCAAACTATCACATATTTTCAGTGGATGTGCTCTACTGGACTCTTACTTCCCATACTAAACTCTAAGGCAATCCATTAAGAAATATACAAAAAGTCACGTGAGCTATTGGTCTGACATTTTTACTACAGCTTCAACTAAGAGTAAAAGTGGACTGTTTTTAGTTTTTTGTCATTCCGATTAAAGATGGCTGGTTTAGAGCAGCATAACTATAAGGTGAAATGACGTGTAGATACATAAGTATTGGTTAGGCCAAGCAAACTAGATTAGCAGTTTTCAAAACATTCATGAGGATGGGAGGTTATTATTCATTGCCAACTTTTCAGCACACATTTGCTAAATTTTATGAAATTCTACTAATTAAAATTTAAATAGGGTTTAGCGTCACGTGGTATTAGCTTAAGCAATTAGCATAAGTAATGATGTTTGACACGGCTGTACCGAGTACATGCGGGCGATGGCATGAAACTGTTAATCTAGTTTCCATGGCGTTACTATAAAGAAAGTTGTTAACATTGTTTTATAGATGAAAAACTACCACCATGTATTTTAAAGAATCTGATTGGTTCTTTAAGGTATAGGTCTGTTCCGAATAATAGGGTTGTGATCCTAATGCTAATGTTGGCTACAGTCGAGTGTCACTTTCTTACTTGCTGTGGTTTATTGGTGTGTATTGATAAAAAGTCATGATATCTAATCAAAAACACCTAAGGTGTGAAAGAAAAGGTGTGGCCAATAAAGGGTTGAGTGTGCGACTTAAAGAAATGAAATCAAAATTGGTCACCAAACTGGTAGCTACATTTATAGCACTGATAATAATATTACAGCAAATATTCATTCATCAGTTAGTTAGGCCTCGTATTTTGTTTTACCCACCATCATGCCCCAAGTAGAACCCATTGTATCTGTACTGTAGATAAATAGATATAATGGGGTGTCTAACGTGACTCTTTCCCCAGTAGCGAACAACCCTGTGCAACACTAGGTTGTTTTGTTTGTTTGAAGTTAAGCACAAAACTACACAATTGGCTATCTGTACTCTGCCCACCACGGGTATCGAAACCCGGTTTCTAGCGTTGTATTAATAATAATAAACGTAAGTAAACAGCAGGAAAAAAAAAGGAACTATGCAACTATTTGATACTATTAATCATAAGTCCGACCATGGCTGTTAAATAGTACTATAACAGTGTATATTCTTCTATCTGTCCTTGACTAAGTGTGTGTGAGGTATAACGTTTTCATTAAAGCGATTTACCTGAACGGTTAAAACAGAAACTTAATTATCCGATATTCAAGAGACCGTTCAAATTTACTTAACTGATAACATGAGAAACGTTCTACAGATCTCTGAGAAACTTACTCCAATCAGACACTAAAGTTCAGCACGTGAAAAGAAAGTAACACAAAACCGTAATATCCGACTTAGTAAATAGTATGAGAAATACAAAAACGAAACGAAACACGAACTAACAATACGTGAGTCATGTTTTATACCATTTTTTATCATATAATTCCAACACTTTAAAATCAACGTATAATTTATATACCTCTAATTACTTTGGTTAGAATAACATATTAACGATGCGTGTGTGTACAACAAACCTACTAGTCTGAAGAACTAATATTAAAACACGAGACAATTCATTGTTCATTGAATGGCTTCTTACCTTAGTCATAAGCTGTGATAAACTTCAGCTGAGATAGGCGTAGAGTGGTGAAACCGGCTCGTTTCGCATTTTAAAAAGTGAATATATGATTGGAACTGACAAAGTGTAACGTTTCTCTTAAACCTGGTCAACAGTAACCGTTTATTAGGCAACAGCCCGTCTCGTATTATTTTATTTTCATAAAAATACGCTCTTCTATATGAATTAACTTTCACAGTTTGTCAACTCACAAGTCACAGCTCGGAAGGAGAAGGCGTTAAGTGATCACGTTGGATAATACTTTACTGTTGACGGTTGTCCTGCAGGGGGCGTCACCAACAACGATAACTGTTTCTCACGTGCACGGACCACTGTTTGTGTGTGTGTGTTTACGGTAGATTCACGCAAACAAAAATTACGCTAGCACAGTGGTTGCTAAGACAACAATATCTGTATATAAGAAGACAGACCTAATATCTACGAACTTGTATGACTTGAAATTCCTCTTTAAAGAAAAACTTGGCGTGTTTATTACAATAAAAAATAAACAAGAATGAAAGCCACTTTACAAACTGAAATAGCTACGAGCTTCTGAAGAACGTTATTGTAAAAATAGCAACGTACGGCTTTGTTAAAGTGCCTTTTAAGATGACGTAATACTGAACAATTTCGTGAGAAAACAACAGGTGTGGAAGTACGTCGCTATAAGTAAAAATATTATACATTAAAGATAATGATAAACCATACAAGTACATTTCATAATAAGTTGTACTAACAGACATAATGACTGAATAAAAACAGACAAACGATCGAACAAATTATTACTTAAGAATATATATGTCAGACAACCTCATGGACGAATGATTATCTAAGAAAAACTGTATAGACGAACCAGTGGGTGGATAGTCAGTCATTTATCCCAGAGAATCTACGAACAGACTTTTTCAGGATCCAATGGGCGAATAGTTACCCTGACACAACCTACCAATAACTCAAATTTCAATACTAATTAATAAGTCAAAAATTCTATACTAATTAATAATTCAAAACTTTACACAAATCAATAAGTCAAAGCGTGGAAATGTTGACTTATTGACTAGCGTGGAAATGTTGACTAGCGTGGAAATGTTGACTTATTGACTAGTGTGGAAATGTTGACTTATTGACTAGCGTGGAAATGTTGACTTATTGACTAGCGTGGAAATCAGTCAACATTTCCACGCTAGTCAATAAGTCAACATTTCCACACTAGTCAATAAGTCAACATTTCCACGCTAGTCAATAAGTCAACATTTCCACGCTAGTCAATAAGTCAACATTTCCACACTAGTCAATAAGTCAACATTTCCACGCTAGTCAATAAGTCAACATTTCCACGCTAATCAATAAGTCAACATTTTCACGCTAGTCACAAATTCAAATTTCTATAATAGTCAGTAACTTGACATTTTTATACTAATTAATAAGCTTCTTACTACTCAGTAAGTCAAATTTTCTATACTGTGTTCCGAGTTCCAACTGAAAGGTTACGTTTTATAGCTTGTGGATCACTATGTTACAAGTCCCAACTGAAGGGCTAAGTTTTATAGCTTGTGGATCACTATGTTCCAAGTTCCATCCGAAGGGCTAAGTCTTGTAGCATGTGAATCACTATGGATCAATATTCACAACTATTAACTATCATCATACACAAACAAAACACGTAATAAACACAACTATTAACTATCATCATAAACAAAGAAAAGACGTAATAAACACAACTATTAACTATCATCATATACAAAGAAAACACGTAATAAACACAACTATTAACTATCATCATATACAAATAAAACACGTAATAAACACAACTATTAACTATCATCATAAACACGGTTTTAGTTAATCATGGTGGTAACAACATTTTAAGCTTGACAATAAGCATTCAATGTATCTTATTAACTTTCCTAAAATTATTTAACTGCCCAACACTTGAGGGTGTAGCTTGAGGGTGATCGTTTTATCGCAAACTTACACCTCGAGGAATCAAATCCCGGATTTCAGCATAGTAATTTCATAAAATTACTGCAGAACCACTGAAGGATATTTGAGATAGTCAACTCCTAGTTACTTGATGAAGAAGTCAGTCAAATAAGCCATACTGTTATGTTTCTTTGAACTTTACATCCTTGTCCAACAGTTGTTTCCGTGACCTTCTTCAGTTAGTCACCAATGACTGACAGCCACAATTTTGTCTTAGTGGAGATATATTCTCTATTGATTGCCACTGGAGATGGGCTTTGATGACAGACTTCCTTCAAGAGCCAGTCATATAAATGTCCCTCTATAAAATGGCTCTGTCCCTTTTAAAGTCAGGGATATTATATTTGTTATCCATCGTACTATGATATGATTATGTAGGACTCAAGCAACCATATGACCCATCACATGGTCATTTTATATGATCTATCATATTTTCAGTCTATATGACATGATCAGTTTATATGACCTATCACATGGTCAGTTTATATGACCCATCACATGGTCATTTTATATGACCTATAATATTTTCAGTCTATATGAAATGATCAGTTTATATGACCTATCACATGGTCAGTCTATATGACCCATCGCATGGTCAGTTTATATGGCCTATCATATGGTCAGTTTATATGACCCATCACATGGTCAGTCTATATGACCCATCGCATGGTCAGTTTATATGGCCTATCATATGGTCAGTTTATATGACCCATCACATGGTCAGTCTATATGACCCATCGCATGGTCATTTTATCTGATCTATCGTATTTTCAGTCTATATGACCCATCACATGGTCAGTTTATATGACCTATCATATGGTCAGTTTATATGACCCATCACATCATATGGTCACTCTATCTTGTACGTGGAGTATCTTACAGTTACGTGTGTGTACGAAAGTGTCTATTGTGATATAGACTGAACATTAAGTCAGTAAACAGTAAATATGTTTCTTTCAACCGTAATATAAATAATGTGTCCTTCTAACAAAATAAAAATACGTACCGTACTTAGTTTGATTCCTCCCCATCCGGGTAGAAAAACAAACAAACACTCATATCTTGATCCATTACTGACCTCGTCTCTTCTCTAAAAAAAATGAAAGAAAATTACAAACAAAAAGAAACTAATAGAAATCCTTTAAAAAGGTATCATATCTTTGTGTTGAATTGATTTCTTAAACCTAGTGTTTTTCTAACACCATGAACCTATTTAAGAGGTTCAGTTGTTTGTTTATAATTAAGCACAAAGCCACACAATGGGCTCTCTGTGCTCTGCCTACCACGGGTATCAAAACCAGAATTCTAGCGTTGTAAGTCCGCAGACATGCCGCTGTGCCACTGGGGGGCTAAGTGTTTCAAAGCAGAATTTTTACGTAACTTATTAATAACACAATATAATGAACAGAAATAGTAGACTTCTTACACCTCGTACAGCACCAACAAGTTAAAAACAAACATAACCCCAGCTGTCTTTGAATAAGAGACTATCTAAAATTTAAACTATGGATAGTCACCATCTTAATGTCGAGTTTATTCTGATAGTAATAGTAACAATAAAATAATAAGTTTTTCTGTAAAATTTATGTAACTGTGCATCAGATTACCTTACAAGATGTTTATTCGTATTAGTAACGCTACCTTACGTTTTAATTTTGCAATAGAGTTGGTGTCTTAACAATAAAGACGAGATTTTAGGTGTAACAGAGAGCTAAGAGTCGTTTGTCTAACCATAAAAAAAGTTTTAAAGTCATATCAAGGTGTAAATGAAAAATAAAGATTTTACAAAATTATATTTACCAGTAACAAATAAGTTTGTTTTGTTTTTAATTTCGCGCAAAGCTACACGAGAGCTAT